AAACACTATCTCCCCTTGGAGTTTAGGTGGCTTGAGAGATCCGCCCAGGAAATGCAAGTCAATTAACTTGTTTCCTATTTTAGCGCACGCAACTCTTAATAACAGGAAGGAACAACAAAAGAAACGCATTCAAAAGCAAGTGTTTTTTACAGATTTTTGCTTGCTATTAAAGCCAGCGCTTGCCTGCTGCAGCAGAGAGCGAGGTAAGGCTGCACCCTCCTTTTGCTGAGGAAGGAAGCAGCTTTGGTGAAGATAACTACAGGAAAGGAGCTTCCAGTCCTGCAGAGGGACCACCCAGCTCATTCCCTATCAAAACTGGATTTGATTCCTCTGACAATATTTTGCCCCCACCCCATATACACACAATTCCCACCACCACCACTCCCCCAACATCCCAAGGCTTACGAGAACTGGATTCTTCCTCTGAGAGGAAAACAAAGCCAGGACACCTGGGACTCCCATCACCTGCAGAGCACAAAAGGAGTTGGTAACTGGCAGACAAGTATCGGATTCGGAAGATAAACTGCTCCAGAGCAGGTGAAAGATCCTCGTTTTCAAGGCTTGGATCAGAGTGACTCAGGTCAGAAATGGAAAGAGAATTGCTGATTTCCACTCTTTTCCTCTGCAGCACCTCCTGGGAGCAGGACACTATGGGAAATGTGTCTTGCCCCCTTGCTACCCCCACGGCAGCAGTCCTCCGACTGGCTTTACAGCTCCAGCCCAGTAATAAAACTGATTAAATAAGTCCAATTTAAGTGCTAAAAACGTGCACTGCTCTCCCAAGTCCTTTTGCATCTCCTAGATAGAAGAAAGCCATCTTTCTGGAGGGGAAAGTGATTCGGTATGGTCCCTGCAGTGTGGGTCACCAGGGAGCATCACGGTACTGAACGTCAGGAGCGAGGATGCCCACCACCCACTCCTTGTCCCAGCACAGAGAATTCCTGGCACTGTGCTGTGGGACACAGCCCATCACCCAGATGTTCATCCATCTACCTGACACCAGGACAAAAGTGTTCCCCCTCCTAATTTTCAGTGGTCTTCTGCAAAAAACCCAAACCCTGTCAATTGCTGCTATGCCCCATTTTCTCCGTTATCCAGTAGAAATACATTTTATTTAGCTCCTTCAGAGGGAAGCCTGCTTGCACTCTCCTGCCTATACCACCAGAAGGAAACTTTTATTATCTAAGTTCAAAGCAGGAAACCAGGGAAGAGCTGGCAAGAAGTCCTGGCCTCCTTCCCACGCCCAAGCTGGGTACTAGTAGGTAGCAACAGGGGAAAAGAAAACCAAAACCAAACCAAACAAACCCAAACCAAACCAACCAAATCAAAACCAAACCAAACAAACCAAAACCAACAAAGCGTAGAAAATAACAGCGTAACTTTACCATCCCGGCCCAAATGGGGGCTCTGGTTTTGCCCAGCTCCGACTCGGTTCTGAAGGCACCGTCTATGAAGCCGCTGACGACGCAGACCGTGCTGAAGGCCACCTGGAGCAGACCCAGCACCACCATGCTCCTCTGGTTAAAGATGAAGTACCGGTAGCGATCCATCCCGCTTTGATCCGTGCATCAATCCCAAGAGGTGGAGACCTGGAAGCGCCGTGGTCCCTCCGGTGAATGGGTTGAAGAGCTTCTTCCTAGGCAGGAGAAAGAAGGGATGGGAGCATCAGCACCCAGGGAGGACCGGTCCACACCTTCACCGGGAGTACAGAGTTCATCTCCTCCTGGTCGGCGGCAGCAAAAGGAAAGCAAGCAAAGGTGAGTGGTCTTTCTGGGAAACCCTTCCGAAGCTCCTGCCCAGAGGTGTGTCCCCTTCACATCCCACCCCACCCATCACCTTTACCCTTCGGGGTTTCCTGCTGCCCGGAAAGGGGTTTCCTTGGGTTGTGTCTCTTGGAGAAGAAGAGAGACCCCGGTGCCTGGCTCGGTGGTGGAGGTGACACCCTCCCGGGCAGGATGCAGCCGGCAGAGCGGTGGGACGGGGGGGG